TATTAACATAGGTACATGGCCGAATCCAACAACAATATGGATAATCAAGGAATCAAATTCATCATAATCGATATGGATGAAGATACGGCCAAAGAAACAATCAGACAAGTATTATTTTCTTTTACAAAGATAGAGACAATGTTGCTAATTAGCACAACTTTTCAGAAGTAGAGAAAATTCCTATAGTTTTTCTAAATAGATTCAAAAAAGAGTTTTAAGAAACTGTAAGTAATATAGGAATTTTCTCTACTTCTGAAACGCCATGCTAATTAGAAGCATTGTCTTCACAACTATGAACAATTTGTTTTTATTGTAATAGTAAAATTTATATCTGGCAGTACTTATACTTTTTGAACTCGAAGGGTGTAAGCGAGAGTTACATCCTAATTTAGTCGATACTCGTGAATCAGTATTTTATTTGACAATGGATTTGAGAGATAAATTTAGTAATTAATCCATAAAGTATCAAAATTTTAAAATTTCAATTTTTTCCTCATTTTATTTTCTAGGAATGGCAAAACGCTTTATGGCGAGGTCAAGAAAAAAATAAAAATAACATTGTATCAGTGTGATGTGATATTTCATTTTATTCTTTATTTAAAAAAATAAATCATCTCCAACATCTTTCAAAAACTTTTATATTTAAAAAACAACGTTTAACTATTTTTTTTATCTAATACTAATACAAATATACAAAAAAAAAAACAAAAACAAATATTATCAAAAATGATAAAGTTTTATATGATTAATTTTAAACTATATTTGTTGTTGTTCACGTTGATTATATTGACGTTTATTATCAATAAAAAAAAAGATTGTTTTTCACATGTTGTTATTAACCAAAGATGTGATATATGTAATAATGATATTGTATAAATATTTATATTAGGAAATAATATTCTATCTAATAATTTAAATGTATTTGAACCATAATGTTTATATATGATTAAACATCGACGATTATTTGTTGTACGTATAATTGCAATTAATATTGTATATTCAATTGAATGAAAACGTATTGTTAATAATTGATCATTAATATAATAATTTAATAAATGTTGTTTTGAATAACGTCGAAGAAATATCCATGATATGATTGATCATTGTTCAATAGTACCATCAATATCAAGCATAAATAAATCTTTTGTATTTGTTGTTAATGATAAATAACCACGACGTTGTATTGATGTTATTAAATTTGCATTTGAACCTGGTTG